ATATATATATATATATAGATATAGTAATCAACCTGTGCATTTTAACAGAGAAGAATACTTAAAAAAGATAACAATATAAAAAAAAAACAAAAATAAATTATAATTTAATTCATGAAAAAAAAATATGAATTAAGAAAATGATTCTCAAAATTGATTTTGATAAAATAATTGCTATGGAAGAGTCGTTACAACCATTTTCTTTATGCTAATACATCCTACCATTTTCATGAATGGGTGTGACTTAAAATTTGAGTTTAATTTTGTAACTCCCTTGATTGATTTATGCTCATAATTTATGGCATTCAAGCAAGTTATTTTGTAACTTAAAAATGAAATTGAATGTTGAAAATTTTGGAGGGATAATAAAATTTAATGCATGATAATATAATTTAATGCTTTGTTGCTCCTCTTTATATATATATATATATAGTTATAGATTTTGCTAGCAAACAATCCTCAAGTTTGCATCATGTCCACTAAATCTAAGGGGTTCTACTTTTGGCGTCCACGTCCAACATCTTGCTCTTAATCCCTAACCTAATTTGATCCATTGGTAAGAGTGAAATTTGACTCATCTAATTTAGTTGACACATAAGGAAGAAAGGCAAGGACTGAAGATTTATCAACAAAAAACACAGCTTAGGAAGATTTACAATTTCACAATAATCGATTATCTTCTGCTGATCTCAGTTCCAATACATGCACATCAAACAAAAGGCATTCTATCTACAAAAAAGAACATAAATTCACTCTCAAAAGTGATTCTCATTTCTCATTTATCTCTCTATTTTTTATTTTGTTTTGCCCCCTAAAATGAGAATCTTTGCAGCCAAGGACAAAAACTCACCTAGCACCAGTATAAAGTTTCTCTATTACTCTCAAGAGCATGTACAAATCGATGTGTATGATTCTTCCACCTACCAATAGTCACCACAAGAACAAATCCCTTTCTCAAAACGATGCAGACATCTCGTGTCGCTCACATATATTTCACAGCAATACGTTTTCGACACCAATTTAAAAAACTGATGGCATCTGTCACACATTCTCAGGTTCTTGACTATTCTTACAGTTCGAAATTCTCGAGGGGGACACTCGACGAGAGCAAAAGCCAACGCCAGTTTTTCGCTATGAATTCCTGCAACCTCTTCATGTTCTTCATCAAGAACCCTAAAAACATCTCTGTACTTCAAGTCTTGTATATTTAACTCCACCTTCCCTATCCAAGAAAGCAAATATTCATGATCTGCCGCCATTCGGCCAGGATCACCACTAACAAAGGTACGAATGGCGTTTTTATCCTCAACCCAACTGCTCCCAACAATTTTCGGAGTATTTTTTCTAATATTTACTCCGACCTTTTTCACTTTCAAATCGTCCCTCGAAATCCCATGTAACTCATATAGCCGTAAAACCAAAGTCCGAACAAAGCCATTATCCGGCTCTAGTTCAAGCAACTTTTCTGCTGCATATACAGCCAGTTGCACCTTTTCATGCCTAAGAGACAAAGTTAACAAAGCAGACCAGATAGAGGCATTAGGTTCTATCGGCATACCTCCAACAAAATCAAATGCCTTGTCGATTTTCCCTGAACGGCCATAAAGATTCACCATTGCAACATAATGGTCCACACATGGCACGATCTCAAGCTCCTCACTCATGCAAGAAAAAATGTGTCTCCCTTCATCGACCCTCTTAGCCAGACCATAAGCCGAAAGCACAGAAACAAAAGTACTTCTGGTGGGTTTGTACTCCATTTTCCTCATGCGTTCAAAGAGCTCGATTGCCTCGTTATAAAATCCGTGCAGAACAAATCCGGTTATCATAGCATTCCATGTAATAACATCTATAATTGGCATTCCATAAAATATAACTTTCGAATATTTTATATTCCCGGCTTTTGAGTACGTGTCGATTAGGGCATTCGCGACAAAAATTTCGTACTCCCAAATGCTGCGCACGGCAAAGCAGTGGATCTCCTTCAGCTTTTTAAGACAGACCAAATTCGCAAACGCCGGTAGAATGCTCAAAATGGTAATATAATTAGGTTTCACCCCACAATATTGCATTTTTCGCAGAATTCTCAAAGCTTTATCTTTTTCTCCCATATCCACATAGCCTGCAATGAGCGCATTCCAAGATGCTGTGTCACGCTTGATGCCCCCACTTTCCTCCATTTCATAGAAAAGATCCATGGCTTGATCCTCGTCCCCGTTTTTAATGTACCCTGTTATCATCACATTCCAAGTGACCACGTTCGGCAAAAAACCCGATTTCTGCATTTTCTTGAAGAGATAGTGCGCGACCCCACAGTAGCCAGCCTGGCAATAGCCTCCTATCATAGAGTTCCAAGTGTACATGTCTTTTTCTGTCATTAAATCAAAAACCCGCTTTGCAGACTCCAATTTCCCGCTCTTTGAGTACATATCAATAAGAGAATTCCCCACGAGCATGTCCTCTCCATAACCCAATTTAACAGCAACCGAATGAACCTCATTCCCTCTTCTAAAATCTTTACCCGAGGTACAAGCCGACAAAGCATTCATGACCGTGACACTATTCGGCCGAAACCCAGCAGTTAGCATCTCCACGAACAACTTTAAAGCCTCTGAAGTTCTGTTATTCTGTGCCAAACCTGAGATCATACTCGTCCATGTGTACACATCTGGCCTTGTGTTTAAATTTTCCATCTCATTCATCAAGCTCAAAGCCAAGTCGCATCTACCCAGATGATTACAGCTCGTGATCAGCAAATTCCATGTGATTGCATCCGGCCCGAAACCCTCATCCCTCATGGATTCGAGCAATTTCCGAGCCTCGTCTATCCTGCCAGCTAGACAAAACCCCGAGATTATTGCATTCCATGAAACCTTGTCTTTCACCTCCATTTTCTCGAAAAATCTGTTCGCGCAGGACAATTGCCTGCACTTGGCGTACACAGCAAGAATCGAGTTGTTCACGCGAAGATCGTCGCTTATACCTCGTTTGACCGTTATCCCGTGTATCAATCGGCCAGTCTCAGAATCCCCTCGATTACCACAGGCCTGCAAGATCTTTGGGAACAGGAAATTATCCGGTGAGGAACTGCCCTCCTCCATCATCCAGTAAAAGAGGTCCACCACGTCACCCCACATCCTCTCCCTCGAGCAAGCTCCAATTATGGCCGACCACGTATACAGGTTCCTCTCACGCATTACGTCGAACACCGCGAAGGCGTCTCCCAAGGAGCCGCATTTCGCGAACATACCGACAAGCTTGGTCTGCAGGAACGGGTCGGGTCGATCGACCAGGTTTAGGATGCGGGCGTGGAGTTCGTGGCAGAGGTCGAGGGAGTTGGAGTCGATGCAGGACTCGATCAGGTACGAGAGGGTGCTGGGCCTTACCGTGGAGCCGCATGAGTCCAGAGAGAAAATGGCGTCGCGCAGGCGGCCGAGATTGCAGAGACGCTTCAGACGGGCGTCGCCGGCGGGATTGTGAGAGGAATTTTTGGAAAGGGATTTGGGTTTTGTGGGTTTTTCAGAGATTTTTGGAGGTAGTATCGTCTTGCAGGGGAGGACTGTGGTATCCATGGCAATATGGCATTGGAGAAAGCTCAGCCAGAATAATTGGAGGTATATTTTAGATTTTATCTATTTTCTTTTGATAAATTGTTATGATTTTTTAATACATGATATCATTCGNTCAAAAATAAATATAATCGAAATGTCAACTGACACTACATCCTCCCTTTGACATAGTACAATCAGGTCATCGACCAAGAGGACTTGACAACCAAAAACACAAATACTTCAAACAAATGAGATAAACCACTCCAATAATAGAGACAAACACAACACACACAACTGGAACTAACAACCAAAATAACAATAAAATAAAACAAAACACACTTCTACAAACAAAGATTAGACTAAAGCATGCCCTAATTCTAAGTTCTAGCAAGTCTACAGCTCCTCGCATCCAACCCAATGAAAAAACCAGTCTCTCTCGATGCAGGTGCAGAATAGACTAGACTTGAGATACAGAGAAATTAGATAGGAAATTGGATTCTGAAGCGGGTTTCATTGATAACATGATAGAACAAATCCACTAGATGCCTATATTTGAGGAGTGTTTTGATAGTATGAGGTGGAAGTTTACAACTTCAGATGTTTTCTCTATGACCTTGCCTTAGGAGCTTGTCAGGTTGAGAGCATGGTTTTGAAAACCAGACCAGATCGGCCGATTCAACCAGTTAGATCGTGAATCGGCTTTCATTTCCGTCCGATTTGCTGCATAAAATCGCCGAGCATGGGAATCATTCAAGAACCATTAAAATCGGTCCAAAAAATCGGACTAATCAATCAACCAGAACCGATTTAAACAGTTCAACAGTTCCAGCTTTTGAATTCATTTAAATAGCAAGTATTTTTTAATTGTGTTTCTCATGTGAGATATGTTCACAAATAAATGACATTGCTGAACTTATTGGGCTTTAGAAGCAAAATTGTACTCAAATGTACTACTTTTAAATTGAGAAAATTACACCACTTCCCATCCAACGCAATTTTATTTGCACATTTGCTAATCATTTACTTTTTTCTTGCAATTATACTAACAGTTAAATTTTCTCTCACCATTTTTTTCTCTTTGCTTTTTATAGAGAAATGTTTAGTAACATATAAATTTCACTTTCATGATATTTTTAATGCAATAAGACAATTTAAATACAAAAATACTTTTTAAAAAGCAAATAGGTAATAAATGCTCCCGTGCATCGCACGGATAATGTACTAGTTTCATTGTAAAAATGTGCATTTTTATTGTAAACAATTCCTCCACAAAGAATCAAAAGGATACTACTTATTCTACATGTCATTAAGTAAACAAAAATCTTATGAAAAA